TGACATTGTAGCATAGAGGGCAAAACTTCTCTCTGCCATGCTGGTATCCCCTATTCTAGCTCCGACCCAGCTCACTGCTATTGACTATGGAAAAGCAGCAGAAGTGCCTGGGATCTTGCCACACACAGGGGAGACCTGAATGAAGTCCCTGGCTCCTGCCTGGATCAGTCCTGGCCAATGCCACTTGGGCAGTAACCAGCAAATGGAAGGTCCCTCATCTCGCTATCTCTGTACCTCTGATTATCTTTTCTTTTTAAACATTTATTTATTTTTATTGGAAAGGCAAAGAAAGGGAGAGAGAAAGATCTTCCCTCTGCTGGTTCACTCTGCCAAAGTTCACTCTGCTGGTTCACAACGGCCGCAATCACCTGAGTTGATCCGAAGCCAGGAGCCAGGAGCTTCTCCCAGGTCTCCCATGTGGGTGCAGGGTCCCAAGGCTTTGGGCTGTCCTTGACTGCTTTCCCAGGCCACAAGCAATGAGCGGGTTGGGAAGCGTGGCTATCGGAGCATGAATCAACACCCATATGGGATCCTGGCACGTGCAAGGTAAGGACTTTAACCACTAGGCTACCATGCCCAGCTCATTTCACCATTTTTCTTTAACTAAAGGTATAACATTTACAAAGGCCACTAAGTCAGAAAATCTGAAAGTCTTTCATGAAAATTTCATATCTACTTAGCCCAAAACCCTATTATTTAATGTCAACAAATTTATCTTCAATTCATCACCTCTTTCCGCTTACTGTCAGGACAATTAAAGCCACCGTCTAGATGACTGAAATGTTTGCTTTTAATTACTTGATCCCTTTTTGTTCTCACCTTCTCTAATCTAGAGCAGAATGATTCACTTAAAAAATGTATAAAACTAATTCCTATGCAATGCAGTAAATCAATGCAGCAATTTGTAAAAAACAGCTACATTCTCTACCTCTTTCCAGTCATAATGCTCCTAGGGCAGCAACTACATACTAAATATTGCATGTGTAATGAATCCTTCCCTTTTTTCTATGTTTATACAGAAGTACATTTTTTGAACTGCATTTTTAAAAAAGGGAAATCACATTATACACAGTATATTATGTTGTAATTTGCTTATTATTTCTTTAACTAACAATATAGTATTTGATTTGCCAAGTTTTTGAGGCTTCCAGATCGATATGTACTTTTTTTTTCTGGGTCTATTTTGATGATTCACATAAAATTCCAAAGAACTGAAGTAAGAAAATTAAATAACTTTCCCTTTGATGGACACTGAGTAGCATCATCTTTTAAAAAATACAAATAAGGGGCCCGCCTGCGTAGCCTAGCAGCTAAAGTCCTGGCCTTGAACATGCCGGGATCCCATATGGGCGCTGGTTCTAATCCTAGCAGCTCCACTTCCCATGCAGCTTCCTGCTTGTGGCCTGGGAAAGCAGTTGAGCACGGCCCAAGGCTTTGGGAACCTGCACCCGTGTGGGAGACCTGGAAGAAGTTCTTGGATCCTGGCTTTGGATCGGCATAGCATCGGCCGTTGCGCTCACTTGGGGAGTGAATCACTGGACAGAAGATCTTCCTCTCCATCTTTCCTCCTCTCTGAATATCTGACTTTCCAATAAATAAATACATCTTTAAAAAAAATATAAATAAGTTCTTTCTTTCCTCCAAAGACATTTTTTCCTGTAGAAAAAGAGCTATATTTCAGGTACCTGGCACGGTGGCATAGCACACTAATCATCTGTCTGCGGTGCTCTCATCCCATATGCATGCTGGTTTGAGTCCCTGCTGCCCTACTTCTAATCCAGCTGCTTATGGCCTGGGAATGCAGTGGAGAATGGCCTAAGTCCTTGGGCCCCTGCATCCACATGGGAGACTCAGAAGTTCCTGGCTCCTGGCTTTGGATTAGTTCAGCTGCATCAAAATGCTGGCCCCTACAATTTCTACTCAACTTAATATAAATTTTCTCTCACTAATGCTAACGAGGTTCCTTTCTGCTATTTGTTGCATCTCATAAACTCCTCTTCTTAGTACTTTCCTACTGATAAGCATACAGAAATGGAACTTTACACACTTGCACGTATTTGTGGGAATGCTTCATCTCCACATGCTGTTCTATGAGGACTGACACTGGCCAGTTTGGGTGACCCACCAGCACCGGGCACTTATTAGGGCAAACCTGCAAATATACGTGTAGCTACAAAGTATATGAGGCAATGATAAAAGGTAGTGCAGCAAAGGAGCACTGGTCTGAAATGGTGGTGAGTGCAACTGTCACTTTTTTTTACTGTCTCCACGAGGGATACTCAGTGCAGGTGTGGCATTGCCCCCTAGTGTTGGACATTCTGGGATGAACTGCAGGCCTCCTAAGTACAGGAACTAGGTACCCTAGGCAACCTGCAAATTGTGGGACTGTTTTCCTGTCTTCCTCATGACCTCCTAAACGCCCCAATGTCAGACGAAAAATGATAACAACTGTCTGAACCTAAGAGGTAGCCCCCACTTCACACATATTTGCTTTACTTCTAGGAGTGTATGTTCTGGGAATGGCTAGTGATCCCTGGAGAAAGATTCGTGTTGTCCACCAGAGGTAGTCACAACATCATACTTGTGTCAGTAGTTATAGCTTCCATATTCATGGTACATTTATTTATAAGTGTTTGCAAATCGCCTTAATTTTCTTATGGTCCTGCCTGAGCATTTATATACTGAAATATAAATCATCTCATACTTCCTTTGTGTTTTACATATTGTAAATACAGCAACATCTTAAAACAAAATCACATGCATGGTAGATTATGAGTTTCATTTTATGCAAATAAGAGACATTCTGAGAATTTATTTTAAGAAGGAAGTTTGGGCAAAACAAGGTCACCACTGCATTAGGTGATGCTTAACATCCCTTCCAGTGTTTTTTTTGTTTGTTTTCAAGATTTATTTATTTTTATTGGAAAGTCAGATATCCAGAGAGGAGAGACAGTGACTCCTCAAGTGGTTGTAATGCCTGAAGCTGAGCCTATCCAAAGCCAGGAGCCAGAAGCTTCTTCTGGGTCTCCCATGATGGTGCAGGGTCCTAAGGCTTTGGGCTTCCTCAACTGCTTTCCCAGACCACAAGCAGGGAGCTGGAACAGCCGGGATACAAACAAGGTCCCATATGGGATCCCGGTGGATACAAGGCAAGGACTTTAGTCACTAGGTTATTGTATTCCCCGCCCCCCTTTTAAAATCTATTTTATTTGAAAGAGACAGAAAAGTCTTCTATCTGGTTCATCCCCTAAGTGCCCGTGAGTCAGTATTAGGACAGACTGAAATGAGCCAGAGCTCTACTCAGGTCTCTCAGGAGCGGAGCAGGGGACCCAAGCCCAAGAAACATCATTTCCTGCCTTCCAGAGTGGACATCAGCAGGACACTGGCGGGGCAGTGGAGGCAGGATTGTATCCCGGCACTCCCATATGGACGAAGAGCATCCCAGCGGCAGCTTAACCCGCAGTGCCACGCAGCCCCTCCTCTCTCAGTGCTTAGGAGTTCTAATCCTCAGTAATACACAGGATTCTATTTTGCTCTTTTCATTACTTTGTTTATACACCACTACAAAATTGGTTATCAAGAAAAATAAGCAGATGGCTAAAAAAATTACAGGTAGATAAATAAAAAAGAGAAAGAAAAAAAAATTACAGGCCACTTGTATTGAATGTACAATCTTACCTAACAATGAATCCACATGATTTCCCAAATTTATTTACTAGTTAACTATCTTAAGTGTCTCATTTAAGATTTATAGTAGAATGTGAGCTTATTTCATATTTTTCCATTTGTACTAAATAATTAGCATCACTAGGTAGGAAGCCAACTCTCACCTATTCCCCCCCCCCCCTCTTTTTTTAAGGAATGAAATGTGGGCTTACCACTGTAAGATTAGGTGCTTGGGTCTACAGCCTTATCATCCTGAACCCACCGATCTGGTCAGATCAGGTGCTTGGATTTAAAAATACCGTTTCTTTCCCTACTCCTCACAATGATGACATACTACCCATTTTAACCATGAAATTTAAAAAAAAACTATCCTTCACCACAGTGCACAGACTAATAGGGACAGAGAACTGGGTCTAAGGAACACGGCAGGCACACAAGACTCGCCTGGAAGAATGGGTAAATCAACGCAAGAGGCAAAAAGGGACTTGGAGGAGGCACAGAGGAGGGACTTAATTTGGTGATAGAGGAGGACTGCTGGAAGCGGGCAGGGGTTACGGTGGTGTTCTTGCATTCTCCGGGCTGCTTCGGGGAGCGCGCAGTTTGCAAACCCGAAGCACACACCGAGCCCACAATGATGTGCACCGAAGTCCACACAACGCTGTTAAATTTACAGCGTCGGAAAACCCACGCTCTTGTTAGATCCACCGGGCCTCCGTTCTCTTGCGCAACCTGCACAGGACAACGGAAGACACATATTTTTTGCAGGGGAGAGTTGACGCGGCGGATAGGACCAAGGGCGGTGCCCCCAAAGCGCGAAAACACGGGGAAACTATCGCGCGCTCACCGACCTCCCACAGACCCCAGTCAGGATCAGAGTCTCTCCCGAGATCAAATCCCGCGCTCTTCCTTCTCCACCCGGCCTCCCGCTGCACTCCGCCCCCTTCGCATCCCTCTCTCGGGCGCGGCAGAGAAGACAGGTTCTGGCCTCCCTCCAAAAGGGTGAAGCTCGCCTCGGGTTTTAGTTTACCACTTGCGAGCACATACCGAGAAAACACAACCGCCGACCAAATGACATTGCAGCAGCACACGCGGCCCGAGAAGGAAGCAAAACACGAAGAAAGGCGTCAGTCTAGCAGCCACGTGAGGTGGGCGATCCCGTCTGCCCTCAAGGCTAAGGACTTCAATTCCCGGCTTGCCTCCGGGCGGGTAAACTCCGCAGACTACAACTCCCAGAGTGCCGCGGGAGAGGCCGCCTCAACCTCCCACTCGACTGCTTGCCGCTCCTCCCGCCCCTCCCCCGCCCCTCCCAGCCGGATCGGCGTGCGCCTGCGCACCGGAGGCCAGAGGAGTCTTACCCAAATGTAAGATGGTGGCCCGTCTGGCTGTGGAACCCACCGAAAGCTGAGAGTCTGTCTCTCAGCCGTAAAGGTCGGACTCGCTGAAGCAATCAGGCCCGGTTCTGGAGAGTTTTTTTCCTCGACACTCGTTCAGTGGTCTCTTTGTGAGGACGCGGCAGCGCCTGGAGTCGTCTAAGGGAAAAGCGAGGCAAAGCAGGCGGGTGAGTCTATGCGGGGCTGGGCTTAGGGGAAACCCGGGGCTGACCGGCTACGAGAGAGCGGAGGCTTCGCTGGGACTGTGCAGGCCGCACCCCCTTCCTCCCCACCCCCCCCGCTCATCTTCACCCTCCTCTTCCTCGGGCTTCCTCCTCCTCCTGCTCTTTCTCCCTCACCCCTCTACGCCACAGCAGTTACCACCAGGAAAAGGGAGCGAGCAGAAGACAGCGCGGCCACCAGCGCCGACTCTTCAATAATTTCTTTAATTGGGGAGGGTGAGGCGGCTTCTGGTCTTCAGCTCTCCCCCACCCTATATTTTCGTAGGGACAGGAATCTTAGGGCTCGGTCCTCCTCGTTTCCTCATCCCCGCACCCCGCCACCCCCTCTGACGTCCTTTCCCTCCGACCCCGAGACCACTCTGCTGCTGGTCAGTGCACCCCTGCTCCTTGCTCGCTCGTCCTGCTGCTTTGGTTTTTGCTCCACTGCTGCCTGCTCTGGAGTTCTTCTCCTCTGCCCCCCTCGGGTGCTTCCAGGCGGCCCCGGGTCCGTCCGGCACGGTTAGAGCGGCTTCCGATTTGCACCTTGTCTTCCTTAAACCGCATCTGTCAACCGAAAGCCGCCCCTTAACAATCTAGGTAATGTTGCTTGCTCCTTCCGACCCACCTGTTTCTCAGCCTGCTTGGGAATTGCCCGTCCCTGTCCTTGGAGCCGGCACAGCTTCTTTGCACACTAGAAAAAGCTTCTTTGCATGCTGGAAAAAGGGGTGCCCCGTCTCGGTCCTTGAGAACTAAAGCAAGTTGGGAAGTGAATGAATCGAGGCAGCATGCTGTTCCGCGCCGCGAGTGGGGATCGGCTCCAGGCAGTCCAGGAAGGAGCGCTTTCCTTGGGCTCTCAGTAGTCTGTCGATTATTCGCTCTGTTGGGACGTGGCTTTTGTTTTTGTTTTTCCCATGCTGCTAAGTTTTCTTCGGAATTGCCTCGCCCCAGGACACTTGAGGTGTCTGATCATACCCATAAACTAGTCGAAACATTTCAAAATAAGGTAAATCTGGCGTACACGCAAGCACATAGAAATGATGTTTAGACGATCTGTGGGTTACAGAATTGATTAGCTGATTATTGACCAAAGGGAGTTATATTGATGTTAAGCTTCATTGGTGACATTTTTTATTTATGGTTTGAGTGGAAAATTCCTCTCTCGTTAATAGCAGGTTTACTTTGGATTTGAAAAGTTCTGTTTGATGTTTCTAGAGTGAAAGTTAACTGAATCGGTTGTCTTCAATCTGTTATGTATACTAAAGAAAAACCAGTAGCAAGCCCACATCCCTGATACTGTTTTTTCCCTCCTTTTTAAGGAAAGGGGAGGCTGGGAAAAGAAATGACAGAGCTGGGCACATACCTGTATTCAGGGACTATCACTGTGCTGTTATCTAGAGCAGAGAACTGAAGCAGGAGGTGGCTTCTGATGTGTTTTGATGAAAGCACAATTGCGATGCACTAATTGTATGATGGAAAGAAAGGGCCTTTGCGCTTGAGACCCACTGTGAAAATGAATTAGCAGACAGGATGGCAGGATTACCTAGAGGAGATACAGGCAGGGCCATTTGACAGATAAATAGGCCATTAGGTACTTTAGATATATGTAAAGATGTTTAAAGTTACAGTAACAATCTCATTCAGAACCTATCTCTATTTGCAAAGGTAAGAATACCTTAAATGTAAACATACATACAGTACCCCTTTAGCTGCTTTTGCATATCACTGGATTACGTATAAAACCAGAATCTTAGATTTGGCATTATAGTCACTAGTTGTGATGAATGGCCCGTTGTACCCAATATAAGCTAAGATTAGAAAAGCTGTTTGTAAAACTTTTCCTGTCAACCCCTTAAATCCTGATTTGGAGAAATTAAATAAATCCCTGCTCTTCTGGGAATTGGAAGTAACTTACAAGAGAAATTGTCCTAGGTTGTAACTTGAGGTTTAAGAAAATACTGTCAAGTATGTTCAGTACAAATTGCTTTTCATCTTGTGGGTTATATCGCACGCTGGTGGAGGAGCTTTCCACTCTGAACAGTCCTAACTCAGGTTTGAAAACCCTTGGCAGTCATACTTGGCTGGCTGGTAGCATTGTGTTCTAGGAGAGGGCTGTTTGTGTGGCAGAGGGGGAAATCATTTTAATACATCCTTTTCTGAAGTGGTGGTTTTTTTTTTTTTTTGCTTTACTAATTATTTGTTCAGTTTTCTCTCATATTTCTTGATGGCAGTCATCAGAGTTTTAGTTTGAGCTCTCTCTAGTAAAAGCTGAATTCACGCTGGGGTGATTTACTTTGTCTGATGAAGATACCTAAAGGTCTTTGATATTTAGATGGAGAGTATCTTCAGTATCTTTGTCTAGATTTTTACTTGTGGCGTTATAAACATTGCAGCTTCCTACTTTATGGATTGTTTTAGCAATTTGAAATACTCTGCCAGATTCAATAGCTGAATACCGCACAGGAGTAGGTTATCGTGTAAGAAGGTTCTTGAACATGACTTAAAGTTGAGTTACTTCAAAACTGTTTTCAGAAAGTTGCATCGACCTTTAGTTCTGTTCAGATGTGACAGTTAAAGGGATAAAACTGTTTCAACTTAAGTCTAAATGGGAATACTGGTGATAGCTTACAGCTCATTGTTTTGTTGCCTGAGAATAAACTCCTAGCATTAAGGAATTTTATTTAAAAAAAGATTTTATGTCTTAAGAGAATGAAATAAGTATCTTTTCAGTTCAAGTAGTTTGGTTTTTGAAAGTCTTGCTTTTTTCTTTTCTTTTTGGGGCGTGGTGGGGGAAAGTCAGATACACAGAGAGGAGAGAGACAGAGAGGAAGATCTTTCGTCCACTGGTTCACTCCCCAAGTGGCCGCAGTGGTCGGAGCCTAGCAGAGCCGAGTGGAACCAAAATCAGGAGCTTCTTTCAGGTCTCCCATGTGGATGCAGGGTCCCAAGGCTTTGGGCCGTGCTCGACTGCTTCCCCAGGCCACAAGCAGGGAGCTGGAAGGGAAGTGGGGCTGCCGGGATTAGAACCAGGATTAGAACCGTCACCCATATGGGATCTGGGTGTGTGCAAAGCAAGAACTTTAGCCACTAGGCTACCACGCTGGGGCCAAGTCTTCCATTTTTCTTCCTACTCCCTGTTTTAAAGTGAAGTAAGCTGCTTTTGTCATTTTGATGAATTTTTCAGTGTGCTTGCAAATAACACTTAAGGGACTCAATTAAAGTGTTATTGTTTAGATTGGCCATCTAAGTGAGATAGAGGGTTTTAATTTGTGAAGCTTCACCTTGTGCTGAAAATTCACTTAGCTCACTGTCGGTAACTATAATAGTGTCTTGACTTTTGGCGAGAAAAGTTAGATGAACTCTGTTGGTGTGGAAGAAAACAGTTGGGAAATAGGTTATAGAGATATTTGCTGTTCTAGAAACAGTATAACGAGAATGTACTACATACTTTTCTCCAAGGATTTCTTCGTCTAAATGGAACTTGTAAATGGTTTTCATCCCACTGGGATTGTGCGTATTAGAGAAAACTTGTAACGCATTCTGAGATTTATGAATTTTACGTTACTTCCAAGATGTTAGGAAAAACTACAAGTAGCCATTCTTGAATAAAGTATGATAACAACTCCAATATTCTTAAGATTTCATATATATTTCTAAAAAATTGAGAGTATACAAGTCATAAAGACAACAACTTTTGTGATGGAATTAATCATATATTTAGTGGTTTTCTGATAACTTCAAAAATGTTTTTAATCTCATTGTGTGGATTCTTTATTTGAGGAGAATATACAGTAAATCTTACCTTTTTCCAGTGCAGTAATATCTTGTGGGTTCTGTCACACATTGCTTATTTATTGGAGAGGAAGTGAAAGCAGCAGGCAGACATGGAGAGCTCCCCTCTGGTGATTCTAGCCAAGAGACAACACTGGCTGGGCTGTAGCTGGGACCTCAGTCCCGGCTCCCAGGTTGGTGGCAGGAGCCCAGCTTCTGGAGTGGTCACCATTACATGAACAGGGAGCTGACATCAGGAGCCAAAGCCAGGAATCGAACTCAAGGCATTCAAACAGGGTGTGGGCGTCTTAACCACTGGGATCCTGCTCCCACATATTTCTTTTTATGTATTACGATCCTTTTTTTTTTTTTCAGTCAGAAAGTTGTTTATGGAAAATTTCAACACTCTTTGAGATTCTGGTTGCATGTTTTTTATCATGGGAGAAATGACATGCTACTAAAGAGGGAAAACAGCATGTTAGAGATAGAAGGGGTACAGGCAGGTTGAGTGTGAGTTTACTTCCTTTCTGAGGAGCTTCTGTGTGAGCCTGGCTTCTGCATTCAACTTTATACTTGGAGGTTGTCATGTTTTTAATTACTTTAGATGATGGGTAATGCTATTTGGATAAGCCTTACTATTTGTATAGGTAAATATCTCAGATATTGCCCAAAACTAACTCTTTTAAAGTTACATTTGGAAGAATCTCTTGAGTTGTTCCAGCAGTTAGACTCTGACTGAGGAGCAGGATGCTCAGATTGGTTGTCTATGCGACCAGTTTGGGATGAAGGGGGAAATCAAGGCAAAAAAGCAGTGTAAGTCAATTAAAATAGGTACCACGTGACTGTTTCTGAAAAGAATTAGTGAACAATGTTTTAGTGAAAAGTAATGTTTGAATTGTGCAAAGTAGCTATGGACTGAAATATCAAAGAGATAGAACATTCCTTAAACCTCAACAGATACGTTATCATTCAGTCAAATCTGGAATTCGGTCCTTGGAGTGAAGAGGAAGTGCTGTTTTCAGATTACTTAAGACTTTATTAACTCCTTCCCTGTTAGCTTTCTGTGTATTAGGAATTTCCGGAAATAACATTGGCTAATGCAGGATTATTAAACTTCAAATGTAGCAACTTATTTTGCTTTCTAAAGATTTCTTGCCTCACATGTTTTGTTTATAATTTTTCTGATTTTTTGTTTTCAG